TCTTGGAGAAATTTCTTTTGTTTTGTGTAATGCTTTGTTTTATCTTGCCTAATAATAATACTGTAAATTTATTTTCTGACTTTTTTACGGTAATAAAATTTGTGAGTTTATATTTTTATCTTTCTTTGCAGTATTAAATTTTAACAATCTACCTGAGCTTTAGCTAAACAAAAAAAAAATTTTTTTATTTCGATTAAAAGTTTTTACTATCCCGTCTTTATTTAAAAAAAAAAATCGCAAAAATTTATTTATAATTTAGTAATAGAATAATGATTTCTGTTTAAAAAATTTATAACATTTTTATGAAATATTTATCGTAAAATTTCTTTTGTGGCATTATGAAATACTTAAATTATAATTCATCGCACTTGTCAAGTTATAAAGGAAAGATCTTTATTCTATATAAAATAGACTAAATAGACTTTCATGTAATAATACTTTTTCCCAAGCTTTTCTTCAAATAAAGTTAACGGAAATAAAAATGAAGAAAAAAATCCTAAAAAAAAAAAGAAAAAAGACAAATACATAAACTCAATTGTGTTTTTTTAATAAAACGGAACAAATTATAAATAAAATAATCCAAGATTTTAATTATTTATAATTGATATTTATCTCATAATCTTCGCGTCAAAAACTTCACTTCTGTTCATTATTGCTTTCAGGATCAGTAGGATTAATAAGATCAATGCCATTAAGTTCTGAAATTACTTGTTGAATGTTTAGATTGTAAATCTAAATTATGAAAGTTTTATATAATTTTTTTAACTTACTTTTATAAAGTGCAACGAATTTACCATTTGTGTTGGGAATACCATTAAGAATTCCAAAAAATAAGAATTTGTTAATTGTAAATAAAAATAATACGTAAAAAAATAATATAATTATACTTACAAGATATCCATGTATAATCTTATTATGATATAACCATGCCCATTGTCTCTTAAATATTTTTCTAATGTTCCACCGTCTGCATATTCAAGCAAGTAATTGTTCGTCTAATATATTTAATATATAGGTATCACATTATTTTTGGATGAGAAGCAATTATTTCATAAAGCAAATATACGAGATTATCGCAAAAATGATCAGCGTAACAATTTTGTCACGCGCACATGATTTTTATTTTGTTTAATTGTAATATAAACTCTCCTTTATATGGGAATCCTCAAATTTCATGTCAGCAACACCCACAACGCCTACACCTTCGATTTCAGTAATGAAAGAAGAAAAAAGTAAGTTTATATTCTTTTCTCGGCGCCCTCTTGATAATTAATAAAGTTTTTCTTTATGAACGATCTCAGTTAGTTTAGATCATAGTTGGTCTTTGCTAAACTTTTTGTAACACCGTAAAAAAATGTATGCCAAAAGAAAAGAACACGTTCGATATGTATGCAATCTCTCAAGCTTGTTGAACTATAAACAAGGCACGGAAGAAGTGAAACGGGCTGGAAGGGCGTTTGTTTCTTTTCAAGTTAAGTACTTTTTCTTTTCTTGGCTGGCAGGAAATCACCCACACTTCCTGACTACGATCGGAAGTGATGATCAGCGGCTCATGGTGGTTCTGTTCTGCCTGCAGTCTTTTATACCGCGACCGGAGATGCATGATTTAATTTTGTTTCTTTTTGGCTGTTACTGAATATAATATCCTATTATATAGAATGAAAAGTAATCGCGGGTAATCAAGGAATTTTGGAGCGTTTTGTCAGCAGAAAAACGGAAGTCATATACTCGTTCTCATACCGAACTCTTATCTACTAAAATGGTTGAAATATACACGATTATCTCTACGATTAGATATAGAGATTGAGAACATATATAGAAGTGTTATCAAAACATGTCTGGACGGATCGCGCATCAATAGTATCAAATTACTTTGTACTAAGCTTGTAGAAAAAAGTGAATTGATGGATAATTTCGTATTTTTGATCTAAGATTTGATAAGAACTCTGCCATATGAAGAGATAAGAAATGATCCGAGAGAATTAACCCTAATAATAATTATTTAGACAGCATCATGAAAAATGCTTTCCATGTTCCTGACAATCATATAGTACAATGGCCAAACACAGCCTTATCGGAAAGTAAAGTAAGGAAATTTGATGGTTCAAGGGCGAAACAGCCAGACTTTGTTATTTCAGTTAACTATCAATCTCAATCAGCAAGTGTAATCTAGCTAAGCCTGTCATGGATTTTCTTTGATCTATATTTCTAGAACCATAATGATATCCGCGATTAGCGTGATAATCGTGAATCTTTACATATTGCCTAGGGTGAACGTTACTTAACGGCGAAAGAATTTAATTATGCCATGATATTTTGATTTTATGGCAATCTATGATGGTGAAGAAAGAAATCTAGCAAAATTCTTGGTAGCCGTGGGAGTACTAATGAAGGATTAATAAATCAAGAAAAATTTAAAGTATCATCTGTTTTTGTAAATGAGATCATTCATTTAGTGATGAGTTATCCCTTATGTGGGTGGAGTGACTGGACCAGCTGAGAAAAAAAACGTTTCAAAAATTGTCTTTGCCTAATCAGAATTGGAATTTTAATGAAGGACTGTGTTGATTCAGTAACAGAGATCAAGATATTAGGTTTTCAATGTGTTGGTTATAAAATAGATTTCTATGTGCTTGATCTATTAGGGGATAGAATGAATAAACGCAATGAATCATATTGCACAGATATCGGTACCGTTTTTTCCATGCTTAGAAATCTGTGTTGTCTAAAATATCTGGCTTGTATTTTTATATTAAACACGTGTGTGCATAGATGGGGTGTGTGCATAGATGTTGTGTAGCTGTATATCGGAAAAAAAAATTCGACCTGAACAATTTTTCTATCTTTTTGCAGTGTATACCTCGATTTTTTTCTTGCAAAAAGTGATCGGCGTTCCGAACAGAACGCAAGACAAATAAGTGCATTATGAAATGTTTACTGTCACTGATTATGAATGAAGTGAATTGTCAGGGGGCACTTTTTTCCTTTGCGCTTCTGTCTCCTACGGGTTCAACGGAGTGTCAACCCTTAGCCGAATTGCAAGAGGATATTCCTCTGACTTATCTATATCAAACACAATGAATTCACCTTTATGAAAGTAGATATCAATTACCATCGATGCATTTTTTACATCATACAGTGTATCGACCAGCTATCTTGGAGTCCTTAACACTTCCACCTTACTTAGATGAGAGATATTCTCTTATATAGGATGTAGGGACTTGTATTTTTGTGTTACATATATACTTGAAATATTTCGATGACCCATTCCCAAAAAATTGGCCAATTCGATTTTGTATGTACTCTAGAGCTAAGTATAGGCTTTCGAATATTTGATACGAAAATAGAATTATTAAAAATGATAGTTTCGAAATTGAAGATTACGAAAATACGTGATACGTAATTAGCAACCATCCTAGCGTCACCCGGTAAAAAATGGTAGACGGATTGATTTGCAAGTTATGACTTCGGACACGGGTTGGTAAAATCGATTTTTTTTAAAGTATTTCGATGAAAATCATAAATAAAAAAAAAGACAATAGAATTTATTCAAAAGATTTTATTTCAATTATAAAGTTTAATTATCATTTCCAATAACATTTTATTATTATTAAATCTTGCCATGTTTTTATTATAGTTCCATATATGACAATATTCACTTTTGCGAACATTTTTTAATCTTTTGCCCGGCTTTTGGTTTTGCCATTACAAATTTACAACTAAAAGTGTATCGGCAGCACAAAAGTTACTTTATAATTATAATTATAATATTAATATTGGTTAGTACACATCGAACTTTTAATATGGAATTATCTTATTTTTTTTTCCAGTTGATCAATAAAAATCTGACGATCCCTTATTTATCTAGATGGTTTCAATGATTCGATTGGGTAATAGCAATAAAATGTGCGGTTGACTGCGGCTGACAAAATTGTTGATTCTGATTGGTAAGCTTCAGATGTGCAATGATACTGTACATGTACATATTTTTAGCTCTCAAAATAATTTTTATTTACGTTCATTAAATTTGTTGTAATAATTTTCATTTTTCTGAAGTAAAAAAAGTAAAGAAAAGTAAAGGCAATAATTTTCATTTATTATAAAGTAAATAACAGTAATATGCACATGTGAAATTATTATTAATTGAAATTGTTAACAAAAAAAGCCAAGAAATACTAGTATGGAGATTTGAATAAAACATCTAAAAAATTTATGGAAATTTGTTGATTGGAATAAATATCAGGTAGATGCAATTTCAATTTATAATTAATTATAAATCATATGATTTAAATAACTTAATTACTTATTTAGGGTTATGTTACAATTTCTACTATTGATTCAACTACCAAATCAGAAGAGACTGATGATAGAGTAATCTAGATGGATGAAATAGAAAAAAGAAAGAAGTATATGGTATATGTGAAGAATGTAATGAACCTGGTACAGTAGAAACTTGGTTGAGTCAACCTTGCATTTCTAAAAGATTTAAGGAAAATTTTAAGTGGAAATAAAGATATTGATGAATTAATACAACATTCACAATTTAATGCTGTATATTGTCTTAAATGCCTTGAATGGATACCTTTTGAGAAATTTCAAAAATGTCACTTAAATTACCAGAGGAGGCTTTGGTAAAATTTATTCAGCTGAATGGCGCGAAGGAAATATTTGGTATTGGGATATTGAAAATCAAAAAATGACAAAGAAGTATAAATCGTAAAGTTTTACTAAAAAGTTTGGATAATTATTCTGAAATTAGTACAGATTTTTAAATGAGGTAACTAATTTATTGTTTATTATGTTTAAATTGTCATTGTAATTTTTATTAAATTTTTTTTTAAAATATTAGATTAAATCTTATCTTCAGATTTATATTCTGGATATTGTTAACTGCTTTGGAATAACTCAAGATCCAAACATTAAGATTATATGATGGTTTTAGATTATTGTGAAAATAAGAAATTATTATTTAAATAATTCTAATGATAATATGAAGCTTTTTAAATTATCAAGGATTGCAAATGGACTTTTAGGGATTCATATTGCTGAAAAAGTCCATAAAGATTTTCATATGTATATAAGTGATTTAGGAACGTGACAATCAGCAAATAATAAAGAAAATCAGATAAAAAGAAGGAGTTTATGGAGTAATAACTTATAGGCACCAGAAGATTCGTGAGAATATCAATATACAAAAGTAGCAATATTTATTCATTCGGAATAATTATGAATGAGTACCTTTCTGAAGAAATTTCAGTTAAAGATATTCCTTATGATTATATTTTAGCTATTAAAATATGTAAAGGATTTAGACCAAAGATTTCTGATTTATTATGAAACGTTGGGATGCTAATGCGGAACATAGACCAACTGCTGAAGAATTGTATAAAATATTAAAAGAATTGCATGAAGAAGATAAGAAATTCAATAATGAAATTCGTTGCCAAATGAGGGAATGTTATAGAAAAAAAAATTGAGAAACAGATCGAATGAAAATAAGTCCGAAAATATTAAAACTCATTCTCAAGCAATCTATACAAGTATATTTTTAAAATTTTAAAACTTTCCAGAACCAATAAATTCTTCAGATTTATCATCATTTCAATTAATTCAGGTAAATCTTCAATTTTGATTATAAAAAAAATCTTATTCAGTATTATCAATATCCAATTTTTTTTTAATAATAGATGATAGTCCATCAGTATCAGAAAATCTAAGTAAGTATAATCAATTAATAATTTTTGTAATTATAAATTTACTGTATATTTTATTTAACATTACGTTATTGCTTAATCTATAGTTTCAGAATGCTTTGATGTTCAATTTTATGAATCAGGTAAAATAATTTATTTGAAGTAATTTATTTATTTATTAATGGTTTTTTCGTCCAATTTTATTTAGTTATTTTAATAATAGATCTCAATGAAATTAATCAAGAAGAAGATAATTTGAATAATGAGTCTTAAATTATTGGTAGTTTTTTTCGGGAATAGTCAGATAAATTTAAGTTAGTATTTAAAAAATTTTTATTAACTTAGTTTATACTTTTGTTTATTTTAGTATTATATCTTAGCGGAAATTTTTATGGCAGGTTCTCGAGATTCGAGACATTTAAAGAATTTTTTTCTAGAAACATTCCATCTGTTGAACAAGTAATATTTCAATTTAGGGAAACGTGGCAAGACAACAATAAATACTATTTCCATAATATTATTTGTTAATTAAAGCAACATTCTATCATATGAATATACTTAACAGTTAATGTTAACGATAACGTACTTTTTAAAGAATCCGAAATGAAATTGGAATTATAACCGTTCTTTATATTAAATTCAGTTACATAGGTATAATACAGTAGCATCTTCACTTAAATATTTCTAATATTATAAATACTTTAATTATAGAACAAAGAACAATCATCATATACCTTTAGCTTATTCAATTCAATTCAATTCACCATAATATTAAAGATTTCACTTTTCCAAACGGGAGATTAGTACGGATTTCTTTTATTATAGTTAAAAGAATAAGGGGGTGGTAATTAACGATATTCCGTCAGAATAGATCTAAAGTACTTTTCACTATATGTAATATCTTCATGCAATTGTGACCGAAAAAAATTCCGAATATCATTAAAATTATAGAAAAGCCTGATTAGAAAGCCCAATAAAATTTTAAAATTATAGATAGAGTTTATTAATAAGGTATATATAATATAAATTAGGGCGAAATTTAATTCCGGCCAAAATTAATTATCCCCATTTGGCAAAAGAGTGTTGTTACACAGCTTATTATAAAATTACATGTCATATTTAACGGACCAATTAAAAACTTGTTTATTAGAATAAAAATCTTACGTCATGATACGCTGATACGCGCCTTTTTAAGTACAGAAATAATCTTTTTATAATCTTTGTTGACTTTGCTACTTTTTGGTAATAAAAACTGAAAACAAAACTTTGTTGACTTTGCTCTTAACTGATTTTTGGTAACAAAAAATTGAAAACAAAACTATGGACGCAACTAATTTTTATAACGACAAACCTGAAGTTGCCGAAAAGTTTGAATATATGGAAGATATTAGTCAGGTCACGGTAGCGTCAAGTATTCAATCGCAACAAACTAAACATTATTTAGCTAAGAGTGGTGGAACACAGGTAATTATTATAAATTTGAAGTGGCTTATCATATTTATATATTATCATTTTAACGCGTTTATATAATAATATATCTCGTCTATTAGAAACGTGCGTTCGTACCAACAGTGCCAAAGCCTTTCAAATTTCATACTGAATCGCGGGCCAACTCTCGTAATAAAGAAAATTCCCCCAAATCACCATTTATTCCTTTAGCTCTCAGTGTGAAACAATTTTTAGAAAATCCGACCAGATTCGATACTAAGGTATCAGATGATAATACGTTTCAAAAATCAACATCGTGATTTTGAAGCTAACAATCGCAATTTTTTCCTTTTAAAAAAAGTCTAGTAAAGTACGTTCAAATACCTTAACTGTACCGAAATCTCCGTTCTTGCGTACTAAATATAGGTCTAAATCCACTACGTAAGTTATACATCATTAATTAATTGAAGTTCAATACGAAAATCATTCATAAGCCGGGTAATTAATTATTAATGTATTTGATTATTGTTCAGTATATTGCCTACAGAAGAACGCGAAATAAGTGAAATGAGAGGTTATAGATTCAAGGCTAATCAATTAGATCAATTAGATCGAAAGGTAATTGTTCGTCTGAGATTTTACGCATAAAACATCGTTACATCGTCTCTTGCTTAAAATTTTAAATTCTCTTTTAAAGATCTTTGAAAATAGGAATTGCGGAATATCAAAAGTACAAAAGCCAAAGCCGACTGAACCATATTCACCGGCCATAACGAAACCTAAGCCACCAAGAACAAAGGGTCCTTCACCACCACATGTCGTTAAAGCTAATATGGTTCAGAACAATGGTGTCTCGTTTCATATCATGTGAAAAAATATACAACCTAACCGGATTAGACCAGTCTATCACATTATTTGTCACCAATAACGCTGATAAAACAGTGTGTCTTGCTACATTTAAAGCTTTTCGATTCTTTATACGAACGGATCAAATTGTTAATTGTCGATTAGTTGTATTTTTTTTAGGAAATAAAGTGCTGTCGCCTTAATACGTTTCATTTGATAATTAGCGTCTATTTATTAAATATTGTTATACCCTATTATGATATTTATATTACATCATAGAATAATAATAATAAGAAAAAGTTTGATTGTTGATTCTTGAATGGGTAACATTTGATAGATTTAAAGAATTGATAATGAATTTCCAAAGTGTATTCTGAAACATGGACTGATGGTAGAATATTTAATGGTTTAAGTTAATATTCATAACTTTTTTTTATAATTGTTTAATTATTAACTGGATCATAAGATTACTATATAAACACGTTTATAAATCAATGTATTTTAAGAATTGTAATAATTGTAATAAAAATTTGTTATTTCACAATTAAGATATGCCCTTATCAATCTATATGTTACGAGTTAAATCATGAATAATAATAATAGAATCGATTTAACAATGATCTTTCGATAATATGATCAATAATAACGGAATTATTATTGATAATATGCAAGAAATAGGATATGATGGAGTTTAGCTAGAGACGATCGGTTTCAATAATTTACCCAGTAATATGTCATTTAGCATAGTCTGTATTCTTGGGCAAAAATTATATGTATAAACAAGAAAATTTAATATAATTTTTTGAAAAAATATTTTTTCCAAATAAAAAAAAAAGTTTAACGCGAATAAAGACAAACTAACTTGAAAAATAATATACTCGATTAGTCTTTTATCACAAATCTCAAATAAAAAAAATTTCAGCTTAACAAAAACGCTAAGTTGTATTAAAGGATTAAACTCATACAAAAAACTATAATCAATTAATCAGGTGATGGATTGATACCACAGGATGAATATTCATGAAACAAAAACTATTTTTATAAAGAAACCTATAACTAAATATGATGATTAGATAAACATCGATTAGTAGCTTTATTTAAAAACTGTAAGAAAATTATACTTAACAAATTATATAATATTATAAAAATTATTTACGCGTCAACGTAATATATTTTATTATGACTCAAATGATGATATGAATTTTCTATTGCGAAATTCAATATATACATGTACATACTGTATATATTACGATTTGCTTTTTTATTATTTTATGCTGTTTTCGAAACGTCCCTATAAAAAATTTGCTGTAAAAACTCCGTAAAAATGAGCCTTTCACGGATCCATTCAATAATTCGATAAATTCTGTGATATAAGGTTATTAATTCCGCAAATATAAGCCTTTTACGGAAAAAGATGGAATATAAAACACGGATCGACTTTTTTTATAGGATATTCCACTTCATATTTTAGTGACATAAACTTCGTTTCAAATCTTATATATAATATAATAGTTATCATATCAACTTTTTGTGCATTCAAATATATTAAGATACGACAAAGTCTTTTATATAATTGAATTATTAATAGATACTCGTTGTTCAAAGTTAAAATAATCAAAAGATCTTTTGTAGTTTTATTGCAATTATTAGAAGTGCAAATTAATGATCTGTTTTAGAGTCACAGATAAAAGTTTATTATGTTATAAATCGAGTAGTAAGGCTCGAAACCTAAAAAATTTCTTTTGTTGAAGATCTGCGGTTTATCGTCACAAGGTGGTACTCAAATGCGTTTATCACCCTCTTAATCCTTTGCGTCATTTGCGTCAGCAATTTTGGATGTAAACTCTAAAAAATGGGTCGATAATAGTCATGGCTTGCATAAATTACAAGATTATCACATGTAAGATATGTAAGATATTCTCAAAAAAAAGATCTTGTTTTCAATGTTGCTTTTGTTGTTTCAATAAGGAAATCATTATTGCCGTAAATACCCGACATCTTTTCTGTTAACAATAACAAAAAATGCTTTTCATGTCACTCCAGATGATCATTAAGTACGTTCATAAACTTATTTAAAAGTGGGTCCCATCAAAGCCCTACCTTTTTTTTTAGAAAAAAACAATTAAATTTTTTTTCTTGTAAAATTTGTATTATTATTTTTTTTTTTAAAAAAAAACAAAATTCCTTCATTACGCTCTTCATTTGTGCCTTGCCCTCTTTAGCTCAATTTCTTTTCTACCGATAACGTTTAACCAATAACTTTACAAAATGCAATCACCAACCAAAATTAAAATCCCTAAAATTATTTCCTTTGGAAGATTGATTGGTCCTGGAGGATGTAACCTAAAACCCATTGAAGAGGAAACTGGTACACATATTCATGTAATCACCGAAGCAAAACCACCACATATTGAAATTAAAATTAATGAAAAAATTACTCTTCTATCATGTAAAGATAGAATTAAAGAAGCAAGTGATAAATTAAAAAAGTTAATGAAAACAATCGATCTTGAGATGAAAAATCGTCAAAAAAATACTGTAAAAAAGAAAGTTAACAATAACAATCATAAAGAAAATCATTACGAAAAATCAAAACGTTGGAAAGAAAATAATTTGAAAAGAGAAAGAATAGCCTCTGAACGGAAATAACACAAATAAATCAACTCTCATATAGACTACGACAAAGTAAAATATAAAAAAAATTACGAGTTTAAGTAAATATTTAGTTATGTACTTAGAAAAAATACCTATGTAGTCTGTAATTAGTTTTGTATATCACTTTCTTTTTTTATATATGTATTGTTTTTTTTACGTAAATAAAATTACTTATTATTACAATAAAAAGTATTTTCAGTAAAATATATAAATTAACAATATATTCTAAGAAAAGATTATTGGTGTTTCTTACTAACGCGCACAATAAATAAACTGGACAAGAAAAATATAATATACGTTTCATTTAACATTTCATTTTATCCAAATTAATAAAGTAAAATAAAAAATATTGTTCCTTGATAGAAATAATAGTAATAGTCACATTATATCAAAAATAATTAATTTTGCAAATTTTTTGATTTACCATATTTTGAAATCTTAATTACTTACGGCCCTGCCACAAGGGACTTCCGAAGAAGCGCACTATGCTCCTCCCAATTAAAATTACGCATAGCACCATGCCGTACCACAACCAACCGGTCCTATCGTAGGACTGCAGCAGAAACTGGTACCTACGAGCTTACTAAAGGTAAGCGTCTATGCTCCAACCCTCGCATAGTACTATACCGCTCCAAAAATATTCCCAACCAGCCCTACTGTGAGACTGCAGCAAAGCTGGTACTCACAGGCTTACAAAAGTAAGCACGCTATGCTCCCGCCCATGCATAGCATCATGCTGCTCCAACTTAAAGTACCCAATAAACTTACCTTTGGCCTTATTCATTCACGCATAGAACTATACCGCTCCTAATTAAAAAAAATATTAGTTCTGAAAAATCTTGAAAAAAAGAAAGTTGCAAACAATTCATTTTGTTATTCAAGCCTGGATGAGATTTCACGCAAAAATTTTTCCCGATATAACTGAAATATTTCAAAGGATATTCATCAACATGAAATATGATGCTTAGTGATCTTACAAATGCATTTCAAGCCCTTAATCTCCACTAAAAAAAAGAAGATCCAAAAAAAAAGCAGATGGTATGAGAAGACCGAAAGGAAGAGATGATCTAAAAAAAGAAAGATTGAAAAAAAAAGAGAATCCTTGAAGAAAGACCAAAGAAAAGGAGAAAACCTAAAATAAAGACTGAAAAATCTTGAAAAGAAGATCAAAAAAAAAAGAGGAAAGACCGAAAAAAGGAGAAAACCTACAGTATAAAAAAAAAGGTAAAAACAGTCTTAAAAGAAAGACCGAAAAACAAAAGAAGTCCTAAAAAGAAAGACCGAAAGGAAGAGAAGACCTAAAAAAAGAAAGATAAAAAAAAGAGAATCCTAAAAAGAAAGACCGAAAAAAAGTGTGACCGAAAAAAAAGAGAGAGAAGACCTAAAAAGCATGACCGAAAAAAAGAGAGAGAAGTCTTAAAAAGAAAGACCAAAAAAAAAGAGGAAAGACCGAAAAAAGAAAAAAACCTAAAAAGAAAGACAAAAAAAAGAGAAGTCCTAAAAAGAAAGACCGAAAAAAAAGAGAAGTCCTAAAATAAAAAAAAGACTAAAAAAAAGAGAATAATATAAAAAGAAAGTAGGGTCTTTTATATGTTTTTTGTTATCTAAATACCAAAAAATTCAAATCAAATCGGAATGACTCATGACTTATTTGGAATGACTCATGTACTTACAATCCGATTAAATAAATCAATATAAGCTCAGAAGCTCAGATATATAGTACATGTAAATCATATAATTAATTTGCCCCGTCTTTGATCACAATACTTACAAGCAGATATTGTATTATATCACAATTTTAATTAGTTAATTAAACGCGTATTTCAACGTATGTTCTATTGCTACAGAGAGGATATAAAGTATGTATGATTAATTCTTAATGTAATCAGTATGTACATCCTATTAAAAACAATGTCATGATTTTTTATTACACAAGTAAATGATTACATATTCTCCAACCACTTAAAATTATTTTTATATTTGGTAATATTAAATAAATATAATTTATTGCGTAATCGTCAATAAAAAGACATCTGAACTTATTTAGTAGATATCTTTCCAACCATATTAACAAATTTTACTCCGATTTACACAACGGATCAAACACGGAATAATTTCACGCCTCACAAATTATTGAATAATAGCAATGAACTCAACTTTAATTAGTAAAGTTATGATAAATATATTATAACGTAATACCGAATAGAAAGATACATTATATTCTCGTGACTTTTGATAATTGAACTGATTTACACGTTCCAATTCACTATATTTCAATAATCCTAATAATTTTCAAACGTAATATTACTAAGATATGATCATCAACTTACTGAAATTTTTGTCCACAATACGTTTAACGCTTTCAAACAATAATTATATAAATATTATTACAAAATAAGCCTAATAAATTATTTATTTAGTTTCAATTAATAGAAAGTGTAATACTGGCCATAATAAACCACGACTACTCGCTATATTTAATAATCTAATCCTTTTTTTGTGTCAGATTTATTATTAGGATACTTTTCGTAAATGAAAAAAAAAAAAGATAATAAGATGTCTAAAGTCTAAACTCTAGAAGACTATTCTCAAATGGAAATGTTTATAAAGTATCAATTAGGATAATTATTACGTTCTTGAGAAATTCTAGAATATTTTACTTTTTAAAAATAATATATTACTGATGGATAGAAGAAATCATAATTTAAGAACTATTCAACAATTCTCTGCATGTTTAATTCGTTATTTATGTGTCACAATTAACTTTTTTAAGATAAATTTACTCTTAAAAAAAAGTAATAAAGCTAAACATAGAAACTTTGTAACATTTCAAATATTCAATTTTTGATTGTTGTAGATCGCAAAAAGTTGTACTTAAGTATATTTATCACGCTCACACTCGCGTCAGAAACTTTTGATTACAAACTCAAAATTCGAAAAAGGTCAGTGCTAAACGGTAATAGGCAATAAGATTATAAAATTGTCACATGCACACATGCATGATACCCGATACTCCCCCAAAAAAATGATTAATTGTGTTTTTGTTATTCCAATAAGGAAATTATTGTGCCGCAGAACCCACATCAGATGATAACCTCCATAACCTTATTAAAGTTTTCTCGTCTAAAGTTCTGTTAAAAAATGTATTTTTGTAAACTTTGTAGATAATTATAAAAATATATAAAATATACAAATTTTATTATATACACATATATATAAATCCTTAGTTATTCATTGATAAACGTTCCTTCACCCCGACAGACAACGTTTATCCAGTAACTTTACAAAATGCAAACGCCAACTAAAATTAATATTCCTAAACATATTGATATTGGAAGACTAATTGGTCGTGACGGACGTAATCTAAAACCCATTGCTAAGAAAACTGGCACATACATTAGTGTAAACACCATTGCGATACCAGCAAAATTTGAAATTAAACTTGATAACAAAAGTACTCTTCCGCCATCTAAAGAAAGAATTAAAGAAGCAATTGATAAATTGGAAGCGTTATTAAAAATAAAAGGCAATGAGATGCAAAGTCTTCCAGAGAAAAAAAAGAAAAAAGTTAGTAATAATTATTATAAACATAAACAATCAAAAGAAATTGAAATAGAAAGAAAAGAAAGAAAAACCTCTGAACGAGAAATGAAGTATATGATCAAATCTCATACTAAATCTCATGGAGTAAGTTATTTTTATAATATACTGCACAGACATGTTTGTTAATTTGCTTTTATTAAAATTTTCTTCATCTTTTTTCGATATTTATTCAATAGCAATGTAACAAGCAAAAGGCTAAGAGAGACGCTCCATTAGCTGAATATTAAACCACGTCCACGCAAGAGAAATATCATTTTGAAAATTCAATGTGCTGTATGTAGTTTACAATTCGTTTTGTATAATACTTTTTTTTATTTTATTATCAGCTATATGTATTTTTTATATAGTAAATAAATAAAAATTTATATATATTCTCGTATAAACTAAAAAAGAATTTCACAAACCGTAAAATTTAAAGATTTAAGAAGAATAAACGTAAATTATATTTAATATCAAAAATTATCACTATTATGGGTATTACGAGTAAGACGTATTTATGGGTAAAGTAGGTTTTACAAAATTAACGGTAAATAATTTAATCGGTTAGATAGATATTTATTATTTGAGATCTATTATCGATATGTTAGTAAAAGAATCTCAACACCGATTTAATTTAAAGCAAATGATCAATATTAACGAGAAATTAAGAAAAGAAGTATGATGTTTCTTTGGCTTATACCAGATAATTTTTTTAAGATATCCAATGAAATTGTCGCTGATAGCATAGTATATTATTTCTATAAGTTATTTTTGATTCATTTGTTCATAAGTCTTATGTAACTTAAATTTAAACTCAAATGACAATCTAACTTATCAAACTGCAATTCATGCGGTCTTATAATTTATGCTGAAAATATTTTTGGCATTCCGGCGTATCGTATTACTTAAACCCGTATGGTTTTTAATCCGTAGTATGCAAATCCATACAAAAAACCATACGTGTATGGATTTTCAGCATATAAACACATGACAAAGATAAGTCTAATAGTATTTAAACCACAATTTATCAGAACAAAAGAAACAAGCAAATAATACGTGTTTACACGTTTGTCAACTTGTGCATCATTAATATAAATATCTTGTAAATCAAGATTTCCGAATAAACTTTTATTATAAAATCAACATATAAAATTAATATAACGGTACATTCAGACTGATAAACAAATTGTTAAACTTTGACATATTCAAGTTTTTATAATTTTTAACGTAAAGAATCTGGAAGAAAGTTTAAAAATAAATAAAGTCAATATTAATATTTATATTAAATTCTTTAAAAGAGATGTTTTGTGGCTAGTCAACATTTGATGATCAAACCACACTGCGAAAAACCATACCATACGTATTGACATTGGCTCGATCATATTATACCTAGGGGTTAGATAAATATACGGGGGGGACAACTCATAGGTTACACAGGCTGATTAGTGATCGCTAGAACTGTCACCATATGTAAATTACTATGTGTTACTAGTAAAATGTAACGATACCCCATGTTTAAAGTGAAAGATCTGCCGATAATCAACCCATCACAAAATAAAAACTATTTTTCGGAAATGACGAAATGCTCAAGTTTATCGTTACGTATTTTTTTTCGTTAGTTTATTTTCTGTATTTTTCAAAAAATAGGATCGGCTATTTGAAATACCTCAAAACTATATGAAAAATTATTACACACTTGAAAATAATACATAATAAAAGAAGAAAGCACTATTTTTAAATGTTTTAAGCAAAAATATTTTATAACTTTTTATTGGAATCTCTAAAAAAAAAAAGTATAATTCTAGCTTTCTAATATAAAAGGAACAAATACATATAAAATTAAGAACGAAGCAACCAGTGGTTCAATTTTGATAAAAAAACTACACTTACATAGAGCTAACATATACAACCTTAACTTTTAAGATCGGCTGCTTCTCTATCTATACGCGTCGAAAAAATCAAAAAAAAGTAAAATTTTTGCGCGATTTAATATGAAAATTCGTTTGTGTAACCAATTTATAGTGGCGACAGTTCGGGTTTTTATTGATCAGCCTGTGTAACCTATGAGTTGTCCCCCCCGTATATTTATCTAACCCCTAGATTATACTTTTCTATAAAGAAAACATTGTTTCGTTCTTTTTCATTTTTTTTCAATTATTCAATTTTATTTCAAATTTTAATTCATCTCAAAATTAACAAATAATTTAATTTAGCATGTTTAGCTAGGTTTGTACAACACTAAACAGCATCAATTGTAATTTATTAAACCATTTTAGTAAAATTGAATAAAAATCACATGATCATCTTTTTTGTAAATTACCCAATAAAATTTGACTAAATACTATCGACAAGGGTCTTTCCTTAAATATGAAGCCGATCGTTCATCGATAAATTATATGAAAGCCATTCATATGATCATAAAAGAATTATTGTAAAATATTCAATTTTATTTTTTAAAAATAAAAAACTAGCGAAAGCGAAACTTTTTGCAATATGGTGCAATAACTTTTTGTTGCTTTATTAAGATTTTAAAGTCTTAAATTTTATAGTTGTGCAGATTTATTATGATGTAAATATTCAATTTGGTAAAGGATCTAATTCAAAAAAATGGTATTGCATTAAGTCAAGAATTACTTAAGAATAATACAATTAATTTGTTTAAAATTCTTTCAAGGTTTTTAAGATTCTTTATAAATATTTCAAGGATATTATTTGTTCATTTTCAGGGTTATTTTGCTTTTACTTATTCAAAGTGATAATTTTATGATGAAAGAAATTAAGATTTAAGATAATTTACTAAGATGAGCTATCACAAAAAATCCAACTATTAGTAATGATACATCCACTTTGGAAATTGATATTTCAAATTTCTTCAAAAAGATTTTTACTATATAATACACCTATTGCACTTTATCAAAAGTATTTAATGAAGAAATTTCTATCTTACATTATTTTGTACCAGGAAGCTCACTAAATACAGAAGTATTACCATGGATTGATAAAAATCAAGAAATTTCCCTAAAAATATTTTCATACAAAATTAAATTACTTGTGATTGCCCCCACTAATTATCATAAATTCAAGATAAATCATGTTTAAATTGGATTTATAGAAATCAAGAAAAGTTTTCTTGTTCTAAGATGTCTTCGATATGAGCTCACAAAAAAGTGTTATAATGAAGGAGCTACTTTCGTAGTAAAATTATTGGAGGGTATAATCCTTTAAGTTGGGGTGCAAATACTCAACAAATGATAATAAGTCAATGCTCTTTTAATGTTATCGTTTTCTCCCTTGTCGTACCATTTCTGAATGCCCTCCCTGAATATACTTTCCTGAAGTCAATTACCTGAATGCCAATTTCTCAAACTGGATCCTTTTCTGAAACAAATACAATTTCCCGAATCCCTATTTCTCGAATCCTAATATTTTTGAATTTCAATATCCTGTATACTGTAAACTGCTGTTTAAACTTTAGGATAAATAATTTTATAGAATAAATTTTGTGCATAATGATGATAATTAAATTTAGAAACTTTGATAATAAACATTGATATGTTGATATAATTTGTTTTTTGAATAGTACTTGTATAATAATATGTAATAACTATAATAGCATTCACAAAAGAAACGCGAAAATGAACAAATTTATCATTCAATTCAATTTGAATATCTCAAAAAGTTAATATTTTTTAAAAAAAACACTCCAGTATGCCGTGCAACTGAGAAATTAATGCCGAAAAATTTTCACCAAAAATTTTGATCTTTTTTCCCTTGATAATGAATAAAAAAATTATATTATTTAGCAAATTAATCAAATTCTGACTGGTATAGGGATTCGGAAAATTGTATTTTCATGAAAATGTCCAGAGTTCGGGAATTGGCATTCATTTTCTCATAAGTGTAGTGACGATGGTCTTGGAAGAGAAAGTCTTATTTAATAATAATAAAGAAAAACAACCAACTTAGAGTCAAGAACGAAACAAATGCAATAATTGACTCTATTTACGGTGAACATAGTTTTGGTTATGACCTACAAAATTTAACAATGTTTGTACTATTCCAGATTAATTATTACAATTTGAAAAATTACGAAATATTTTAAATTAAAATAATTTATAAATATTGTAGTTGATTAATTACATACTTTGATAGCGTTATTGCATGTGTTAGATAGAGTATTATTCTGATATAAAGATATAATAATTAACGTGTATAATTTTATAGTTTTATTTCCTTTTCTGTTTTTGATATTACTGTATTGTATGTGAAAAGAATGAAACAGATTTTTAACAACCGATTTTTTCTTTAAATTTTCATGCAGTATAAGGTATCAAATAATTGAACAGTATAACGGATTATATAATCTTTTTTTCTTTATGTTTCAAGTACCAAGCGGACTATATGCTAATAACCATTTTGTCTTGAACAATGATTTTTGATGATTATGATAATCAAAAATAATCAGTCTTCCAAATGTGGAATCTACAATGTAGAAACATCGTCGTTCCATTGAAATCTAACATCTAAGTTTAAAAATTATTTTAAATAACTTTTCCAAATCTTTATTTCAAATCCGCGAAATAAATAAATATTTGTATTGGTCTCGAGTACTAATGTTGTTGTGTTACATGAGGGAAGTATTTTGTATATTAGATAGGTAATATTAGTCATATTTGCAAAAGTAAAATTTTTATTACCGTTATTAAAGTCCATCATAGATTATAATTTCATAGTTCAGGCAACTATATTTACAGATTCGTGCAACGTTATTGTTACGTTTTGATGTACAAATGTACAATCAACCAACAATTTGACATCTTTTCATAATAAAATTTTTTTTTAAAGGCCAAAGAATCTCAATATAACATCCAAGTTCGAAAAAGCAATTTTCCTAATACCGTACAACAAATAGTCCACCTCTTTTATATAAGACAATCAAAAATGCCTAAATGGTAAATAGTTGTTTCACCAGAATTTACGTCTTATTTCTTAACAATAACAACTTTTAATGTGTAAATGATGACCTCTAAATAAATATAATTAACCTTTTATAGAATATTTTGAACGGACATTTGTGATTTAAGGATTCCGACAATGATATTATCAATTATTAATAAATTCACAAACTTTCTTCCATTAGAATTTCTAATAATCATTTTTTAATATTTAAAGATCTTTCATATTTATAATTATCGGTTTTGTTTGGTTAAAAACTTACTAAAACGTAATCGTTAATATATCATTAAAGAAAAATCACAATAATATAATTGGCAAAAATTGGCAAGCACGAAACCAAACAAGTATCCTTATTGTAACACAACTGATGGTCAAATATATAAATAATGGTACAGCGTTAACAATATATTCTTCCTTTGTTCTTTTCATAAAACCAATTTTTTTTAAAGAAAAAAAAAAACTAAAAAAATTATGTTATTATACAAATTATTAAATAATTTTGATGAAAATGTTCCTACTAAAATTGTTGGAAGAAGAAAATTGAGAACGTCAAAAAGACCTTTATATGATGATTATGATGATTATGATGTATATATTCAAATTGGGGAAGGTAACGATTTGGAAATTTTCAAAGCACATTCCGATGTATTAAGAGGAAGATCAGCATATTTTGATACTGCTTTATCACCTAATTGGGCGAAGAAAGAAGGAAATGTTTTTATATTTAAAAAACCGAATATTAGGCCTGATGTCTTTAGAATTATTTTGTTATTTATTTATAATACTATCATAGATTTAGATGAAAATGCAAAAGATATTTGTGAATTACTTATTGCAGCAGATGAAATTAACCTTAATGAATTAATTGAATATATTCATGAAAATATCACAGATTTATCTTACAAAAATATGATCTCATTTTTTAATGCTCTTAATAATTTTACTATGTATCATCAAGAAATTGAAAATATTAAAGAATATGTCAAAAAATATATTATTAAAAATGCTTTCAGAATTTTTAATAATTTTGATTCTTTACATTCAAATTATAGTTTATTTTTAGAATTAGAAAATGATTGTTTACTTTCACTCATTCAAAATGATGATTTTAGGATGGATGAAATTGAGATTTGGAATAATTTAATAAAATGGGCCATTGCAAAAAATCCAACTGTAAGTTCTTATATATCTATTTGGAATTCAAAGGAAATTGAGATTTTTAAGAAAACAATTCAACAATTTATTCCACATATTAGATTTTTTCAAATTCCACCAGATGATTATTATGATAATGTGCATCCTTTGTCTGCACTTTTACCAGAAAAACTTGAAAAAGATATTAATTTATATTTTATAGATCCAGAAATACCAATAAGTTCAAAAATATCACAACCAAGAATTCTCATAGATTCATTAATTATTAAGATGGATCATATTTATCAAATTGCTCATTGGATTGATGATAAGTTAGGCAAGAAATCTCATTCATTAAAAAATCTTCAATATGATTTCAACTTGCTTTTACGTGGAAGTAGAGATGGTTTTGGTTTGGAACCTTTTAAAGAAAAGTGTTATAATAAAGGAGCTACAATTGTAATAATTAAATTGAAAGACAAAGATGGAAGAATTATTGGAGGTTATAATCCGTTAAATTGGAGTGGATCTGATGATTATCTTTCAACATATGGAAGTTTTATTTTTTCATTTCAGTCAATTATAGATTCATCAACAACCATATTAAGTAGAATCAGAAATGAAAGGAGTGCAATATATGATTCAAAAGATGATAAACTTGGTTTTGGTCGTGACCTTCGAATATTTAATAGAACATGTGTTTTCACAAATTATGAAAGGAAAATAATTACGCCTAGAACTTTTAATGTTGAAGATTATGAAGTATTTGAAGTTGAACGAATTTAAAATAATGGTCAACGTGTTTTTATATATATATATATAATATATATTTTTTATTACTGTAATATAAAAAAAAAATTTTTTTAAAAAAATATGTGTATATACTTTATCGATAACATTTTTTTGTATCTCTAGTATGCTAGTATGGCAGGCTAGAAATTTTGTTTTTAAAATAAAAAATTATTTTCTATTTTTATTTTTTATTTTTTATTTTTTTAATGGTAATTTATTTATTTGTAATACTAATACAAAGAAAAACTTACATAACTACATTTGTACACATCAGAAATGTAACTCCTGCATACCAACCTTTGTTATTCTTCCTCCTACGAAACAACTCTCCTTTAGTCAGTTTATTATAATACTAACAGTTAACCCCCCTTTTTACTGTTGCACTCTAGAATAAATTAATTCCTCCGAAAAATAAAATTGAAATTGAAATGTTACTAGTTACATTATATCGAGGTAATTAAATACATTTTTTGTAATTAAAAATTAACTATATACGATTTTAGCAACAAACCCACGTTCTCAAAAACTATCTATTTTCTATATAGTAAACTTAAAGAAATGCAAATACTGAATAGACAAGTGAATGCGCTAATATAAAATATGGGCGGAATCATAACAACTTTGTCCTAAACAATGATCCACTCGTCTTAATTTCGATCAACCATTCGGTTATCATTCGTTATATAATTAGCATTAATTAGCATTCGTTAATATAATTAGCATTCGTTAATATAATTAGCATTCGTTAATATAATTAGCATTCGTTAATATAATTAGCATTCGTTAATATAATTAGCATTCGTTATGTAATTGCTATTCGCTAAATAATTGGCATTCGGTTACTTTTTAATTGTATAATTTTATATTTATATATATACAGTATATATATATATTGATAAACGTAATTTTATTTATTAGTAACTAAGGTATAAAAGCACATCTTACATTGAAAATTAATACAAAAATTCTATATTAATTCTCTCCATATCAACACTTTGTACTTCAAGCAAAGCAAAAACTATCGATACCAGTGTACAACCTTCTTTTAAATTTCGTGCCTGTTAAAATAAAAATTAAGTATTTACTAAATTACTAATAACTTTGTTCCTTTGTTGGTGTTGTGCCCCAAGTTGACGATTGCCCCAAATTGACGATCAGCCCAAGTTATCGGCCCATCTTTATAATGCCTTAAGAATTTTCAAAGCATTACTTTTCACATATAGTAATCATCGATGATTATCGTCAATTTGGGGCATATTGAGATTTGGGGCACAACATTGGTATCCGATCAAAATCTCGACAGTCACTTGCACGACTAACACAAGATCGACAACAAAATCTCGACAATCCAAAATCTCGGCAATCGACAATTTTGTGATGTGTGTTTCTAATAAAATAATTTTTGCAATATGTAATATTTAGTTTAAATGTGTTATAATTTTGTCGGGATTTTGACTTATCAGGATTTTGACTTGTCAAGATATTGGATTGTCGAGATTTTGTTGTCGGTCTTGTATCAGTCGCTCAAATGATTTTCGAGATTTCGTACCAAAACCAACTTTGTTACCCCAAGAGCTTCTATTTGTTTTTCCTAGTCTAAATACGTCATCATTAAATTTTCCTTCTAAATCCATTTTTATTATATTTTTAATTTTTTTATTATTTTTTTCTTGTTTTCGTAATTTTCTAATTGATCTAACAAATCATCGTCACTCTCTACTATTCTTTTCTTTTTCCTTTTTAGATCTTTGAAGATTCCCAGTTGCTTTTCCAATTCTATCGTCTCCGAGCATCGCTCATTCATACTTTCTTTTGTATATTCAATAAATATTCATCGATTATTTCTTTGATTATTGATTTATCATCTTTCTTTTTACATAAATTCCACTATTTTTCGTTAACCAACCCTCTTGTCAATTCTTTCAAAATTCCTTCTTGCATCATTATGATTTATCACTTGCTACATATAACATCTTTTCTCTAAAATTCGTCATTTTTTCTTTCTCCCATTCTTCAGCACGTTCGCCCAGTACTACTCTCGAAAATCTCGAACTCCTAATTGATTTTCTTTATTTTCAGACAAACACAAATATGATCCCATGTTTCTTCTTCTATAGCACAACGTGGACATTTCTTATTCGGAATTCCCCAAACTCCACAAAATTTCATATGTTGGAAGAATCTTTAAAAAATTTTTGACTCTAAAGCATCTTATGGAAGCTCTACTCTATTTGTAGAATTTCTTGAAACCTTAACTTCGTTATTAATTAACGCGAAAGTTTCTTTCCAATCAATCAGTAAATTCGAGCCACCTGATTCAATGAAACACTCTTTAACATAATCCAGCATCATTATATCAATTTTTATAGTATTGTACGTCATTTCTTTAAACCAACGCCTGAACGCCCTTTCTATAGGTATATAATTCCAACGTAAACTGAATTCATCTATAATCAAATTATTTAAATTAATTTTCACTTCCGCTATCACATCCTTACAACTTATCAACTCTTTTTTTAACGCCGGTAATTTCACATCTTCCGTCGCCTCTATAATTTTATATTTATTGTATCGATATTGATGTGAAATAATGGTCAACGTGTTTATACTATATATATATTTAATATATTTTTATTAATATAAAAAAAATCAAAAATCCAAATAAATTTAAAAAATTATAAATGTGCTGTATATACTTTATCAACAACTTTTTTTTTTTGGTATGTAACCTATGTAGCCTAGAAATGTTTTTTTTAAAAAAAAAAATTAGATGTATTAAATAAATAAAAAATCAATCGCCCCATACAGTAATATTATTACAACGAAACTATGCTAATTTCTCAACGATGAACTATAGTAATGATGCGATATTGATATCGGAAGATAGTAAAATAATAAGCGCGTAACAGCCGTAACGCCACATCTGAGCCATAATTGCGTAACACGCTCCTAAGCCTCATTTTTATATATAAGACCCATTTTCTCTTAAATTTGCGTTAATAAGTTAAAAACACTTTATTGTATTGTTTTTTAGAAAACCTTTAAGTAGAAATTTGAGGAAGACTTGGACATCTAACTTGTTGTGAACTTATTGATATCGTTGAGAAGGTAATATTTGAGAAGTATTATTTTGAGAGAGAGAGAGAATTATATTCGTAGTCTTTCTAACACGAGTGAAAATATTTATGTCTCAATAGAGTTCGACAGAGCTTGTATAATCGCGTTAAACGAAGCAGAAATAAGAGTGAGTGCTAACAATCAAATTTCTTGATTATGTACACTCCCCGGTAAAAAGTATCCGACCACTTTAAAATCAATAATGCCAGGGTTTTTAATAAAAAATTTTTAAACTTTATAGTGAAAACCTAATTTGAAGTGTTTATTTGCTTAATTGTTAGTAAAATTTCGCAGAAATATTTTAATTTTCATGGTGGTAAAAAATTTGACTTATTAACCAGGACAGATACAACAAAACTGACGCCAGAACTTGATTCTTTGACATAAAAATAGCTTATGGGCCAAAAATCAGCAGTTGTTAAGAAATCCACATCTGAAAATCATCAAAAATCGGTAAAAATGATGATTTACATATGAAATTCATAAAAATTCATGGTGGATTTCTCAACAACTGCTGATCCAATCGTCCTGATTTTTGGCCCATAAGCTATTTTTATGTCAAAGAATCAAGTTCTGGCGTCAGTTTTGTTGTATCTGTCCTGGTTAATAAGTCAAATTTTTTACCACCATGAAAATTAAATATTTCTGCGAAATTTTACTAACAATTAAGCAAATAAACACTTCAAATTAGGTTTTTTCACTATAAAGTTTAATATAAATGAAAAATTTTTTATTAAAAACCCTGGCATTATTGATTTTAGGGTGGTCGGATACTTTTTACCGGGGAGTGTACTTTCTAGACCACATATAATTGTTTGTAGACGATCTCTTTCAATTATGTATTTTTATTGGGTAACCCTAAGCAAGCTAAGGAACGGATAACTCAATCGGGGTCTCGGGGAGTTCCTGATTTGACTTAGGGGAATTGCCCTTGTCTCTCAGCTGATCAGCTGATTTTGCCAATTTTGCAAAGTGCGGTAACTCTTGAGCAAGTTAAGTCGGGGAGTTCCTTTTTGACATGAGAATCGCTCCCCAACTAGTCAGCTGAGTTATTAAGTGTGTTTTTTTTAAACTTCTAAGCATGTCGAGGAGCGGATAACTCAATTTAGTCGGGGAGTTCCTTTTTTGACTTAAAGAAACATCCTAACTTTGTTATTGGTAAGGTCTGCTAGTTCTGGAGGAGGAACTAGCTAGGTACCTTCTTTACCATTAAATAAAAAATTTAGCACACGCTTCTTTCTCATAAAGGTGATTCTTTTCTTTCTACTAATAAGTGTTTAAAAAGATTAAGAAAACAGAAGTTTTTTTTTAATCTTATCCTGATGGAGAGCATATCTGCGCTTAGGCTAGTTCGATTCTAGCCTAAGATCTCACTCACATTTTAATTTTATAAAATCGATTAGGAATACGATTTCGATTTAGGATTAGAATTAGGATATCGTATTCTAATTTTAAATCATTACTCTCAAAGATTTAAGAAAAAAGAATATACCTGCCAAGTTTAGATGATCTTATATCAGCTTCATAGAAGTTACGCCTTTATTAAAAAAAATGTATTGCCATACATAATCATACCATAACAATTTTGTATTAAACAATGATATATATATATTTTATTAATACAAAATTAAAAAATTATATACAGTATCTATTTTGTATCTCTAATATGGTAGGCTAGAAAATTTTGTTTTAAGTTAGATGTATTAAACAAATAAAAAATTTTCTATTTTAGTATATTTTAATATATAATAAAAAGAAATGCAAATACTGAATAGCGCTAAAATAAAATACTGACGAATCATAACAAATAATGGACGTGTTTATATATATGTATATAATATATATTTTTATTAATATAAAAAAAAATAAAAAAAAATATGTATGTACAGTATGTGTACTGTATATCTATATCGACAATTGTATCTCTAGTATGGTAGGCTAGAGAATTTTTTTTAAAATTGGATGTATTAAATAATAATAAAAATTAATTATTTTCTATTTTTTTAGTATATAATAATCTTAAAGAAATTAAAGAAATGCAAATACTGAATAGCGAATGCGCTAATATAACATATGGACGGAATCATAAAAAAAAATGTGTATGTATCTCTATATCGACAATCTCTAGTATGATAGGCTAGAGATTTTTTTTTTAAAATTGAATGTATTAAATAAATAAAAAATTAATCGCCCCCATACAGTGATATTATTACAACGAAACTATGCTAATTTCTCAACGAAGAAATATAGTAATGATGCGATATTGATATCATATCAGAAGATAGTAATAAATCGCGTAACAGCCGTAACGCCACATCTGAGCCATAATTGCGTAACACGCTCCTGAGCCTCATTTTTTATATGACCCATTTATGGTTCTGCAGAGGAAATAGAATTTGCGTTAATAAGTTAAAAACGAAAACCTTGAAGTAGAAATTCGAGGAAGACTTGGACATCTAACTTGTTGTGAACTTGTTGTTATCGTTGAGAAGGTAGTAATATTTGAGAATATTATTTTGAGAGAGAGAGAATTATATTCGTAGTCTTTTTAACACGAGTGAGATATTTATGTCTCAATATATAGAGTTCTACAGAGCTTGTATAGTTGCGTTAAATGAAGCAGAAATAAGAGTGAGTGTTCTGCTAACATCATACATTTACTGCTAAATATTTTTTATTGCTAACAATCAATTTTCTTGATTATGTACACATGTAATTGTTTGTAGACGATCTCTTTCAATTAGGTATTTTTTTTATTGGGTAACTCCTAAGCAAGTTAAGGAATGGATAACTCAATTGAGTCGGGGAGTTCCTGTTTTGACTTAAGGGGAATTGCCCTTGTCTCTCAGCTGATCAGCTGATTTTGCCAATTTTGCAAAGTGGGGTAACACTCAAGCAAGTTAAGTCGGTGAGTTCCTTTTTGATTTATGAGAATCGCTCCCCAGCTAGTCAGCTGAGTTATTAAGTGTGTTTTTTTATTTTGCAAAGTGAAGGTAACTCCTAAGCATGCGCATAACTCAATTTAGTCGGGGAGTTCCTTTTTTGACTTAAGAGGAACATCCTAACTTTGTTATTGGTAAAGTCTGTTAGTTCTGGAGGAGGAACTGGCTAGGTACCTTCTTTACCATTAAATAAAAAATTTAGCACACTTTTCTTTCACATAAAGGTGATTCTTTTCTTTCTACTAAGTGTTAAAAAGATTAAGAAAACAGATAAGTTTAGTTTTTTTTTTTAATGTTATCCTGGTGGAGAGCATATCGTGTTTTGGCTAGTTCGATTCTAGCCTAAGATCTCACTCACATTTTAATTTTTTTTTTGACAAATTTTTTAGTATTTAGATGTTAGAGGATTGTTTATCATTTAATTTATTGTTACGTAATTTTCGGTATCCTAAGTTAAGGAAGGTTGGCTGCTAGTGCCTGCTACTCTATTATCAAATCGATTAGGAATACGATTTCGATTAGGATTAGAATTAGGATAAATCTTTATCATCACTCTCGATAGATTTAAGAAAAAAGAATATACCTGCCAAGTGGTTTGATGATCTTATATCAGCTTCATAGAAGTTACGCCTTTATTAAAAAAAATATATTACCATACATAACCATAGTACCATAACAATTTTGTATTAATATATTTTTATTATTAATACAAAATTAAAAAATTATATACAGTATCTATTTTGTATCTCTAGTATGGTAGGCTAGAAATTTTTGTTTAAGTTATATGTATTAAACAAATAAACAATTTCTATTTTAGTATATTTAAAAGAAATGCAAATACTGAATATCGCTAAAATAAAATACGGACGAATCATAACAAATAATGGTCAACGTGTTTATATATATGTATATAATATATATTTTTAATTAATATGATATAAAAAAAAATAAATGTGTGTATGTGTACTGTATATTTATATCGACAATTGTATCTTTAGTATGGTAGGCTAGAACATTTTTTTAAAATTGGATGTATTAAATAAATAAAAAAATTGATTATTTTCTATTTTTTTTAGAATATAATAATCTAAAAGAAATTAAAGAAATGCAAATACTGAATAGACAAGCGAATGCGCTAATATGAAATATGGACGGAATCATAAAAAAAATATGTGCGTATATCTATATCGACAATCTCTAGTATGATAGGCTAGATTTTTTTTTTTTTAAATTGGATGTATTAAATAAATAAAAAAAATTAATTATTTTCTATTTTAGTATTTTCTATTTTAGTATATAATAAAAAGAAATGCAAATACTGAATAGCGCTAAAATAAAATACGGACGAATCATAACAAATAATGGTCAACGTGTTTATATATATTGTATATAATATATATTTTTTATTAAAAATAAAAAAAAAATGTCTATGTATGTATGTATTATATGTACTGTATATCTATATCGACAACTTTTTTTTTGTATTTTGTATCTCCAGGCTAGAGAATTTTTTTAAAATTGGATGTATTAAATAAATAAATAAAAATTAATTATTTTCTATTTTTTTAGTATATAATAATCTTAAAGAAATGCAAATACTGAATAGACAAGCGAATGCGCTAATATAAAATACGGAATCATAACAATTTTGCCCTAAACAGTGATGATGTTGATGTTGGTCATTATTAAAACCAAATAATAAATTAAATAATTGTCCGCCAAACGCTGGAATCTATAGAAAGAGAAATGTAACGGTGTTAATTAAATTCACATATTTGGAACCTGCATGAAGAAAAAAAAAAAAATATTGTACTTACGCATGCAATCATTCCCCTATTATTTTAAAAAAGTTTTAAAATATAAATTAGATATAATTATCGTTATGAAATTTTTTTTTAATTTGGTTTAAAAAAAAACTTACCAATTCAATCCAAATCTTTTAGTGCCAAACCATTCACTAACAATTGTGGGACCAATAGCATATAAATTACCAAAACCAAATCCGACCAATATGGTAACGATCAATAATTTATCCAAGTCATTGACGTAAAATAAAATTAACAATTGAGCCAAAAATAACCAAAAACCAGAAATTATAAAAAACCATAATCGAGGTAAGTTAAATAATAATCCCGCTAAATCCGATATAACTCCGACAGATAATCTTCCTAAACAAGAAAAAACTGAAAGAAAAAATACATGCATATTTTGTAATTCTTGAATATGTGATGAAGACGAATTATCTTCAGAGTTCGGTAACGTAGTATGAGGATGAGTTGATGAAGCGAAATATAGCGATTTAATTATCGAACCGACATTATTAATGTACATTAATCCTGTACCAGCAATAAAAAACATAGACATGGCCAACACTTTAGCATCATGGTTATAAAATAAGTCCCATCCACCAATGTCAACTTCTTCTTTTACTTTATTTAACAACGGCGTATTTTCAGATTTATCAGATTTACCAACTGTATTTACTTTCGAAGTGACATGAGAAGAACAACCTTCTTCTTCTACAACAATTTCGTCTTGATTATTCGGTGGTGGTACTACAACTAGAAACCAACTTCCAATAAACATACATACTCCCGAACTTATAGCAATAAAAAGTAAGAAATGGTATGTATCTTTTTTAAACCAAAGTGTATTTATTTCTGAATATATTGCTGCGGATAATCCGAACAATGCTATTGGAGCTCCAAATGCTATTCCTCTGAAGGATTTAATATTTTTCGCCTAAATTACATGTGTATCAGAAGAAAAGGAAACAATTTTATGTCGTGTTAAATAAAAAAAATTATTTTAGCGATGAAAAGATTTAAAAATTAAAGTAATTCTTACGATTGTTACAAGACTTGATACCAAACCTACAAAGGAAAAAAAAAAATAATTATATATTGGTACGAAAATGAATTCGGTACTGCGGATATAACGTAAGCAAGAATTTACCTGCAGATGATGCCATTCCCGCAATGAACACATATAAAGCACATAGTAAGAATGACGAATCAGAAAAATTTCCATTATATGTCATTGCAAGACAAAAATATCCTAGGAATATGCCAAAGGAAGCAATAAACGTTGTCCTATATTATAATAAATCAAAATAATCTTAATAAAATGTTCATGTCAGTTGGCACGTGACGGTACGTAATTTAAAGTACCTTCTTCCTCCATAATTGTCGGCAATATAACCAAAAAGTGGCTTACACAAATAAACACCATAATTTGCAGCACTTCCGATTGTATTTACTTCAACAGAACTAAAATCTAAACGTTCTGCTAATGAAGTACTATATGCTGAGAAAAGATATTGTGTACCACATACTGAAGATATAAAAAGCGCAGCTAAAAAGCTCGAAGTTAATTTTATTGATCGTAAATTCATTTTTCTTTATTTTCCCAAAAAAATATTTTTGTTTGTTATTTAATTGTATTAGTATATTAGTGTTTTCACAAATCAAGGAAGAAATCGAAAATTTCCTTTTTTTTTGAAAAATTTTGTATATTAAAATTAGATATTAAAATTACTAGATTTTTTAATTTTTATAAGAGAGAATTTTTTTTAAAAAAAAAAGAAAAAAAAAAAAAATTTGATTCTTTTTATATCTAAAACGTCTTTCAATTTTACTATTTAAAAATAAAATAATTAAATAATCAGATTTACCGAAATCACCGAAATCATGTGAGTAATCATCTATTACGATAAACAAATGGTTTCATGTGATTAACATATTACACTAATTTGTATGCTTTAATAATAATAAGTTAAAATACAATTTATTCAATCCTTCTCCAATCCAGTAATCCAGTAATCCAGTCTCCAAAGGAGTTTTTTTTTTTTTAATTTAAAGTTTTTTTTTTTAATGTATCGAAAGTTCTAATAACAATAAAAACCTGAAATTACAATACAAAGCCACTAAGACAATCAGTAATAATTAATCGACCGATTGTGTCCTTCTGACCTTTTAAACGTTCAATCCCCGATCTCATGACAAGGGTCGTTTATCCATATTTGGTGATGATTCCTTTTTTTTTGTTTATCCAGGATTTATTCGTTCAAAAGAAGGATAAAAAAGAATAAAGAATTTCTACATAAACTATTTCGTTCATATGAAGAATAAAAACTTTTTCGCTGAAAAAAGTCTCTCTTTTTTTAAAAGAATATCACTTATGCTTCGTTTATTTTTGATACTGTAAATCTTTATCATAAACAGCCACAATATTTTTTTTTTTAGTAAAGCAGATAAAAAAATGACAAAAAAATATAAATAAAGTCTTGGCGTTGCTCTCACGCTAAACCCCATATTTACTCGTCTAAAAAAAGTCAAAAAAAGAATTTTGAACCAATCAAAAAATTTTTAGCGATCAAAGAATTGATCAGAAGACGTCTGACAAACAAACATTTCATAATTTCATATACATTATGCGAAACAATGCGAAACTCTGTTATAATTATGCGTCACATGATTTTTTGATACAAAGAAAAGACGCATTAAATTACGGAGTCGTGCGTTTTCCGTACTTTTTTCCGTGTCCACTTTTCAGTATACTATCCGAGGATTGGTTACGTCATGTTACATTTACATTTTTAATTATTTTAATTACATCTAATCGAGATTGAAATTATCTAATGTCACGAGGGCAATTTTCTTTTACATACATGCTTAATAAATATGAACTTTTTAGTTAAATTATCTTTTCGGTCTCCGAAAACATTCCCAATTAATCGAGTTGCATCAACAAAATTATTCTTTCGACAGTCTCCCAACTTATACCCACTTTGTTCTTTACATACCTCTTTACCATTCTTTGACGATTCAAACTCCAAACCTTCCTCTTCTTCCTCAAAATTCAATTATGAAAAACCACCAGTTTCTGATACGATCGTTCCAACACCAATGGCTTCAGCATTTAAGAATATGTTTGATGGTTCAGCAATACATTCTATTCAAATGTTATCTAGATTAACAAATGATGGGTTTATAACCAGTAATGAAATTGAAGTTAAAGGTCCTGTTATTTTATTGAATGGTGATTTAATTATGTGGGATGTACCTCAAGGTGATCACGGAAAAGGTAGCGTATTCAATAATTGGACCACTGATTTTTTAAAAGTGTTTGAAGTTATAAAACCTAGGCCAGGTGAGCTTACTATATATATTACTGCATGATTTTATTTTTATTAATAATAATAACTAATATATAAAATTTTTTTTTAAAAAAATACCTAATAAAGAATTATTGATATTTGGGACTGGAAAATCGGTTGTTCCGATTCCATCACATATTAGACAATACCTTAATGGTTTAGGAATACAGATTGAAATAGTAGATACGGTAAATAATCTCATTATTAATATATTTATTAATTTATTTTATTATTTATACTATAAATTTAAAATACTTTTCTAATTATTCCATTAGAGAAATGCTTTAGCAACATTTAATGTATTAGCCGAAGAAGGCAGAAATGTTGCGACCGCATTATTACCATTGATTCCAACTAGTGCTCGTACTGGAAAGTCTTTGATTACTTAATTCAAATAATATTATATAATATATTTGTCATCACGGAATAATAATCATCATTATCATTACCTTAAGTGTTCTTTTTTTATTAAGTAAAAAAATTATTATTTTTTTTTTTTACAATCAAAATTCTATTAATGGAAATGTTTATATTAAAATTATACAATGAAATAAAGTAAATAATATAAAATGATAATAGAAATATTCTTTTAGCGACCCGTATAACACGCATATCAAACGATCAACAGAATGATAATCATATGAAATGCATATTGTCTATGCTTTCTTAATCAATTTCTTTTGTTTCTTTTTTAATTCTCGTTTGCGTTCTCTTTCTTCATACTAAAATAAATTTATAATGAAATAAATATTTTATTCTTTGACCAAACGAATACATAAAATAAACATTCTTACCTTTCGTTGTTCTTCAGGTGATAATTTAGCAACACGTTCAGCTTCAGCACGTTTCTTTTCAACCTTTTTCTGTTGAATAGCCTTAAATGTCAAAAAAAAATTGATTTAGTTGATAATCATGTAAAAATAGAAAAATAATAGATCTTTAATTACTTCTTGTCTTTCAGCTTCCAAAGCCTTATTTATTATTTTATCTGCCTCTTCTCTATTTTTCTTAAGTTTATTCTTTGTCTAAATTATAAAAAAAATAAGTAACAAATATGATAAAATTATTCTTTTTAAAAAAATAATGTTATATACCTCTATCTTGAATGAACATCTTTCAGGAATGAAATCGATCAAATACATAATTAATTCTGAAACATATAAAGTGTCGTCTAGTTTAGATAGATCTTCGGGAATAGAACAATAAACTGTCAACAATTTTGGTTGATTCTCAACAACTCTACAAACAATTTTAAAATAAGCTTTTTAGTAATCTTGTCTTAGTATGTCAAAGTCATATTCTATTATAAAATGCCTACTTTTCTGGTCTGACACGTGGTTGATCTGTCACGATAAGAGCATTTAAATAAGGTTCCGACTTTTGTAATAAATCGACAACTTGCCTGGTAAGAAAAGTATCGGTAATATCAGAAGATTCAGTTTGTGCATATAAACTTCCTGGAAGATGATTATTATTGACTTGTTTTGTGAAATCACTCTATACATGTATAAAAAAGATGTTAATATATAAAATATTAAGTTTATAAATTTAAACAAAAATTCGTACCAAATCGTATCGAGATGTTCGGAATTCTCTAGAACGATCTTTTTTTGTAACGCCGAAAACAAAATCTTCATAATCACCATTCATATAAACATGAAGTGACTAGAGTATGGTTGCAAATTAACTAATTAGATGAAAATATCTCCAAAGAGAAGAAAAAAAGACAAAAAAAATTTTTACTAACCACTGAATCTTCTATGACTTTACTGCTAAATTGAGAAATAATAATGTTTGTAATTGTTTGAATCAAATTATGTCTTGGTTTAAGCTAGATAATTATAATATTCGGTAATAAAATTTAATTAAAATAAATAAATAAATAAATAAAAAGAAGAAAATTTTTAAAATCAAGTACCGTAATTCTTCCATGAACAAACTGACAATTTCTACGACCGCTAAGATAAAAAACATAATCTGCTGGACCATCCCTTATAAGAGGCTTACTATTATCATTCGCAAATCCGACAAGTGCAAAATTATCTTTGAATAATGAAATATGAGTTTCCATCCTATAAGAATAATAGAATCTTTTGTTTAAGAGAAATTCAGAAACAATTTTTAAACAACATAAAAATAAAATAAAATACCATTTTTTTGCAACTTTTTCATTTTTCTCTTTGCCAATGAGATAATTAATCAAATATGCAACAATGCAACATATCATAAATATTTCTCGACGAAATTCTGATAACTCGAATTTTGGTCGCGCTAATTGTATAAAATAATGTTTAAGTAAATATAGAAGAATAGCTGAAAATATATGAGGGGAAACAAAATAAATACAAACATGGAGGTACATAGAGAGGCTTTGGTTCAGGGACTTCTTGATAACTTTCTTTTTCTGGTTCTGGTGAGAATTTAAGTTCTTCCTCATCAAATTCATCTAAAAAGTAGATCTACATAAATGAAATCTCTTACTGAAATGAAGAAAATGTCTAGATTGCAGTTATATTTACATACCCGCAACCACTACTCTTGTTATTACTTGTAATAACAGTAGTATTGCAACTAATGAAAAAATAATTTTTGGTAAACGAGTTGTCATCATTAAAATTTTTCACCGAAAAAAAAAAAATTCTCGAATTTTTTTTTTTTGAAGTTCGATGTACTGTATCTATCTATGTAACACCATGGCAAATAACAAATATGTAAGCTATAATGCTGTACTAATGCTGTCCTACAATTATCTAAAATTAAAAATCACAGTGATAATCCGAATAGCGTTATTGGTTACTAATCACAGTTATTCCTACCTGACCAAGATTTAGACATTAACCTATTTAAGTTGGAACATGATCAAACTTTGGGTAAGATTGAATTTCGGATATGGCTTGTTCCATGTTAGATTTGGACTACAACATTTATGTTAATTTGGTAATTACTAAATTAATTTAGTAATTTATACAATGACGGCAATACAGGAATGATGTAATTGAACTTGAAAATTTGTTTTCTGAACTTACATAAATGAGTTTTGGGTATTACATCAGCACATTTTATAGTCATATCATCAATAAAAAAAGGATGGAAAGTCCGTATAACCTTTGTATGTATATATATATCATCTGGAAACCCACTTTTCTAGTTTCTACAATAAAAAAACATGATTGTAAGTTTATCATTAGTCATATGTAATGGACTCAGAGTCTCAGACCAGAATTTGGAAAAGGAACTCCTAATTATCCAAATATATACAAGCCGAATAAATTTTCACGAATTTATGTTATAAGTTCCGGGGATATGTTACATTTTGAGGTTAAGGTAACATGGAGTGAAAATAAATAAAATAACAAAAATCGAATCAAAGAAAAATAAATCTCTCGTGAATAGAAGGATTTTATATACTAATATTAACTAAGGTAAGGGCCAGAAATCACGTGTTTATAAGTTAATATGGCCCCTCTTGTGATCTAAAAGGTAGGATGATATTTACTATATATAGGTGTGATAAATAAAGAAACCCTTCTAAACACGTAATTTCTGGACCCTTCCATTTTTAATTTATAAGGAAATTAGATTAGAATTATGTAATAAGATTAAGGGTTGTATTACAAATATTTAAATATTTATGATAATATCTGCTTTTTATTGATAAGCTTCTTTTAAACTTTTTTTAGCTTCTATATAAAAGCAAGATAAAATGATAATAAATATCTAACATATGAACATAATTCCCATTTTTATTTTCTTTCTTATTGTCCTTACTTTTTTTTGATTCCTTAAAATTCGTGTGAAATAAAAAAATGGAAAAGTAAAAAGAAAAAAATAAATAAATAATAAATAATAATCAACAATAACTAAGATAAATAAGGCGTTTAGCTACTCTATTTATTTAAATATTATAATTTAGTGTGTGAATATACAAATAAATTAATTACTAATCATTATGGCCAAGAGAAAATAATAGGCAGGTATATGCTTATTACGCTGGCATCAATCGAAAAAGTTGGCATCAATTATTTCCGTTTTCGAATTAGTGTGATCTAGTATATTTTTTGATTACTTAAATTTATTTGTTATTTTCAGATGAAAATCATAATTTTAAGGTTACACGATAATTTTAATTTAAACAATGATGTAATAACACTAAAAAATTTAGAGTAATCAACGTAATTTATAAGCAAGAAATATTGAATTACAATAATTCGAAAACGGGGATGATAATAATTTTTATAGGTAATGACCTTTTAACATAGTTTATTATGCAGCTGATATTTTTGACTAAGGTACAAGTAAATTACTATTGCATAAATATCTTTGAAGCATTACATCATTTAGATTAAAAATATTACATATATTAAATTTTACACGCAAAATACATGCTAACTAAACTTATTGAGTTATTTATATAAAACATCGTCCGCATAATAACACAATTATTGAATAGGAATGTTAAAATATCATTCAAACTGCTTCACAATTCGGTGATATTATCCATCATCTAATATTTATTATTTAACGCATCAGCATTAAATGTGTAACACAGTTATCGCGAAGATATTAACACTTATATATTTGGTGTTCTCTGGGTACGTCTCTGGTTGGATGAGGTGCTATCAAAGAAATATTTTATGTTTATGTAAAATTTTCTTAATAAAGTTACTGCTCCCAGTGAGATTAAAAATAATACTATATATTTAGACAGGCAATCATGATATTATGTGACATACTTCTTTTAAATAATTGAATTATGTTTGAATTTAAAAATTTTATAGTATGGTTAATATAATTTGTGATTTGTGATATGTGAATTATTTTATCCGATTAATAATAAATAATCATTGGATAAGAGAATAGAGATATCAGTCAAAGACAGAAATAACCAAGTTATACATAGTAGGAATATTGCAGTGACCAATAGGAATTAGTGCTAACTACTCCAGTGGCATTGGCCTAATAAATTGGTGCTACTAATTCTGCGCATATTCCTAATCGACTGAGCAATAACCGATTGCTAAATTACACGTACATTTGAAGTTATCTTTAGCTTAATTTGAAATTCAGTTCGTAGTTTGATAATATTCTAATATTTATCCATTATCTAATATTTATTATTTAACACATCAGTCTTAAGACGTTATCACGAAGATATTAACTCTTAAACGGACATACTTAATTGGCAATATATTTTAAATATTTATTAATAATATATATTTAGTGCTCTCTGGGTACATCTGCTGGTTGGATGAGGTGCTATCAAAGAAATGTTTTATGTTTACGTAAGATTTTATTTCTTAATAAAGTTACTGCTCCCAGTGAGATTAAAAATAATATATATTAAGACAGGCATCATGATATTATGTGACATATGTTTTTTAAATAATCGAATTATGTTTGAATTTAAAAATTTTTATAGTCACAGATCGAAGAGATATGGTTAGTTTACATGAAGTTTATACTATTAAAATTTGGTGGAAACCTGTTCAATTTCCATGGTGTACGCCAGATTTCAATGAAGTTTCCAGTTTTTGTGGAAATGTTATGGAAATTTTATGTAAATTGGACACGTATACCAAGATTTCCATAGTGGAAACCATACCACTTCGACCAGTGTAGTAT